TAATTTTTTGTAGGTTTCCTTCCGTCTAGGAGTTATCTGATAAATTTTAAACCACTACCCCACAAAACGAGTTTTATATCTTTGAGATCATTCGAAAATAGTGAAACTACGTGCTAATTATAAATTTATTGATTTAGAGGGACTTTTGTATCACTCAGTATCTGAGCTTCCACAAAAAATTGTTCAAGAAAGCTTATACTACTTATTAGTAAATAACTCTGTAAATCAAAAATATCTGGGCTTATCAAAGAGAGCTTCTTGATAACAGTATTATGTATTGGAAATGAGTGCCAGGAAAAAACTGGTCTGAAATTGACAATCTAAAAAGCCGTCATTTAGATCCAGGTGTTATGCAGAATAGCGAAACTAATATTTATTTGTCTAAAATGTACGATTTTAGCGATAGGAGTAATGGTATTCATTAAGACAGTTATATTATATTACTCTTTATCACACAAAGCTCGTAAGCTACTGAGGACTGGGATATGTGAGGGAGTCGGTGTTTCAATGATAGAATGCTAGTCAGCGATTTAGAAGGTCCGGGCGTGATTTACGACTGGCTAATTCATAAACATCACCTGGCTGGTTGTAAGCTCAGAAGAAGAGGAACGTAAGTCCTGAGATTAACAACTTCACTCCGTAAAAGTAGGTCGCCGATACTGAAACCCCAAATGTTCCAGGTCGAAATCGGGGAATGGAAAAAGATAACAGTTATACAGAACAACTGAAATACTGGTAGCCCAAACAAATCTGTGTCCAAGGGTATTTTTAAGGAACAGAAGATAGTTTTTAGTGCTGTTAAAGTGCAACTTATTTCACCTATACAACCTATGATTCGATTATGCGATTATGTCAGTTCACCTACTCCTTTTGAGTACGATATTTTGGTTGCAAGCAGAGCTTACTGTTCAAACGTATATTTGAACATATACAATCCTGGTTTTGTTAGGAACAAAGAAACTCTGTCTTAGAACATCTATTGATTCTGATAACCAGATGGATCCACGAACTAGTTCAGGTATCATCTTCGGTTCATTGAAAAATACTCTGGTATAAACTATCTATACGCTAGACCACAGGTTAAGAATTCACCTAAATCTCCTGGTTTCAAATGTATTCCTGTCTGTCAACTGCTGAACAGCAGTTGAAATATTTTATCTTTCATGGATTTTAACATCAGTTAAACCTTGTATATTCTGTATTTTCAGATGATATGTTAATGTGCAAGTAACATTTTTATACATTTGCTGTTCTCATACAAAAATTCAACTTTAAATTAATGAAATGAATTCATCATTTTGTTTCACAGATGATATTTCTCTGTTTTTCTTAGTCCAGTTTAGTTGATAATCTGCTAATTCATGAATCTTTTAAGTACTAAAATACTTATGGCGGAAGACGCTTCTATAATGGTGTACGTAAACAGTGAGAATGATTGATTTGTTATTTATTCTTTTTCATGTGGTCCTCCAATCCATGATTTGTTGAAATTGTATATGACTGTCGGAGTTTTTACCTTAGTTAATCTGTTTTCCTTTCCATCTAACAGATCAAAAGATATTGAAATGAAAACATTTTACAACTGTAAGATGGGCTATTGAATCGGCTCCCAGTGGCTGAATGCTTAAGAGCTTGCCTTGTAACCCGAAGGTCCTGGATCCAAACCCTGGTGGTGGGTGCGTACTGCCGATAATTCCCAAACTAGGATAAGATTGCTCTCCAGTACTCCGGTGCTAGTTTTCAGTAGTTCTCTAACTGATATCAATCCGTGATCAACTCGTAAAAACTGTAGGATGACCAGTAACTTAACTGTAGAAAGAAAACAGAGCTAATTTACTATAATACACTATTAAAAAATTCCATATTATTAAGTTTCATGATCAGTGCAACGAGCATTGAAATATATATGAAAATCTAGAAAAATACATAATAACATTCCTTTGTTGATATGTTTCATAATTAAATGAACAGCATATGTGAACACTCCACTGTTTAAGGTATATAATGAGAGTAAGCGAGTAGGTGAAGAGGTTTGTGTTCCCAGTGAAGCACAGAACTTCAAGCATGATCTTTGTAATTTCAGTAGGAGTGATGTTTAACTATTTTTACTGAGTAGCGTTGCTAGCCTCACACCCAAACTTCTATCTTTATCGGGCATACTGCTTCCTGGCTAAGTGAGATTGAAGAGTGCATCAGCCAGGGGTCGAACCTCGGATGACGTGCAGCGTGGTTGATCAGCATCCCATCACTGAATCATTGAAGTACAACATCATGTTGATCATTCTAAAACTAAATGAAACTAATATTTATCTGACACTGGGGTCAGTGAAACTTTTGCATTTGACGGCTTGTTTTAAACGTGTATTGTAATGCTAAATTTAATGAAGGGAATATTGTCAGCCATTTTTTAAATTGTAGTTGTGAATGCTGTAGGTAAATTTTTATTTTGAAAGACGAAGGATCAAAGGTCAGGGATCTTTTCTTTTCCCATATACATTTAGTTCAACCCTGGAAGACATTCTTATGTCTTTGGTAAATTAATTAGATAAAAATAGTAGAAGGAAAACTCTAAGAAAATACAGAAGTAGAAGTGGAAAAATGCAGTGTGGAACACAGATATTATGTAATACAATACAGATATGGAATTTTAGGAAACAGGTCAGTTAATTAAAATACAGTCAACTATCATAATTATTTAATTGAATTTTAGATTTTTCCCTCAATTGATTGGACCGAAGTGCTTGGTCTCATGTTGACATGTCAGCTTCTTGTGCAGATGCTTCGACGATGTCTGGGTATGTTAATTAGAATTTAATTGGTGGATGGTGACTAGCAGTGGAATCCAGAATGCATATTTCCTCCTATTTTGGACTCATCACAGCTGGATGCACCTGCATTCCCCAGTGAGCGAGGATGTTCCCACCGAGGGTCGAACCCAGTGACCATAGTTCAATTAAATAATTAATATGACCTATCCCACAAGAGGTGGCTCTCGTGGCCCAAGTGGTTCAGTGGATAACACTTTGGTGTTTGAAACTATGGGCACTGGGTTCGAGCCTCGGTGGGAACACCCTCACTCACTGGGGAATGCAGGTGCATCCATCTGACGAGTCCCAAATAGGACAAAATGCGCATCCTGGATTCCACTGCTAGTCACCATCCACCAATTAAATTTTAATTATCATAATTATTTTGTGCAATTGGAAGGATATAACAGATGTGTTTCTTATATACAAACTATTTTCTGATATCTCTTGATACCTTCAGTCAAGTCAGTCGACTGGTGCAGGGTATTCACTTCGGCTGAGAATTTCCTACTGTGGTGGAGCCAAACCATTTTGTAATTCAATTTAATCTCAATCCATCCTCCTATTAGCCGGTTACTTTTATACTATCTTGTCGAATTCTTCCTGGATATGATTTGGAAGAAATTGAACAATGAATTCTGAATTAATTTCCATTCACTTCTGTACTGATTACATGAAAGCTTCTAGGAAATCATAACTAGGCTGAGGTATTCACCAAAATTTGATAGTCTAGTTGCATGTGCTACAAACAGAAACATTTTAGTAGTGTATGCAGTGTGATATCTTCAGTAGATGTCATGAAAAGATGAATGATTGTTGATGCTTAGAACAAAATGAAATGAAGAAAATCGATCGTTAATATAATGAAGGCTAGACAGACAAGAGGATGACTCGGAGGAGAAACATGCCAGAAAATAGAATACGAAGATATTTACTGCAGTTCAGAAATATGCGTCTAATAAGTCGCTTCTCGTCCGTGTGATCACCGGCGGTTCAGTGGTAGGGCACTGGGGGAAGTAGAAAATGGGCCGGGGTTCCATCCCAGGCTGATGCACTGCTTTACTTTACTTAGTCGGTACTAAGCCGCGTAAAGATCGAAAGTTGGACATAAGGCTAGCAGCCCCATCCTGCAAAAATACAACACTGCTAATGGGACCACAGAAAAACTCTAGCTTGAAGTCCAGTGTTCCACTTGAAACGCAAAAGAGTCAAGTACATTTTTAAAGAAGTAAAAAATAAGTCATTGGAGAAAAGTTGGTCGCCCGGAAGATGAATGTTTGGTGTCTATTTTATTCTGATACTCTATTGTATGAAACAATTTGTCACAGGATAATTTTAATTACATAAACGTAACCTCAGCAGTGTGATCATTTAAAATTAAAAAGATTCTCCAGAATTGCATTAAAATTTAGCAGCAGTATAAATCAGCTATACCCTCTTGTTTCAGTATTATTCATTTCATCACGATCTTATACCATGTAGGTGAAGAATTTGTTACTCTTCCCGAATTAAAAGGACAACCTAAGTTGAAACGTTTGAAACGGTGGTAGCCGACTCTGAGTCTCAGTGAAATTCACTAAGAATTACAGGTGTACCCAGATGACGAGTCTCCGGTGGGATGAAATATGCGTCCATCCACCAAATGACTTATGTTTATTGCCTAAACATGAGTAGTATAAATCTAATGTGTTTTTTAACTTCTGAGTTGAATATACCTCTGTATTTCATTATGGCTTTCTCTGTAAATCGAAAGGTGCTAGATATTCGTCAAAAGTGCATGCTCATAACCACTTTATATGTTAAGCCTTATACGATTCACTTTCAGGGTAAACACTTTGCTTACCCTTTTAGTATGAATGCTAAGTTATGAAAGTCTTAAAATTGCCAACTTCTCTCAGCTTGCTATGCAATGCTACAGATCTTCAACGTCTTCAATGGCAAATAACTGTTGGGAGACGTATATTTGCTGACCCCGCCAGTTATTAATGACGGCTGAAACTAATCATTAATAATCAGTGAATTGACATTAAAATAAAAATTCAGCTAAATGCTATGCATACACCAACCCCCGTATATATTACTAACATGCCTGTTTATATTACTTACAAATAATCATCACCAGCTATTGTCAGTGACAGGACATATCTCAATATATATATATATATATGCACATCGTAATCTCTTTCAACTTACCTATAGTAGTAATAATAGTGACAGCGAATAATATACTACCTTCAAATGTCCAGTTGAAATCATCTGTATGCTCTGATCCATTCCATCCTTCATCTTTTATAGCAATAACAATCTGTTCAACATATTCTGTTAGCTTTTTCTGTAAAGCATTTTCTAGAATTCTACTTTGATTAATAATTGTAGGTAGGATATCATCTAATTTTGCAACTAGTATCAAATGTTTTGGTAAAGAGTTAACTAACTCTGTTGAAAAATAATTTAGATGTAAGCTTTGATTTGTTTTATTATTGTTTTCAAATTTTGTGTCTATTTCATCACTATCAGGAGAGGTTGTTCTGGGGGCAGTTGTCGTCATCGTCGGTGTTGTTGCTGTTGCTGTTGTTAAGACCTGTGTCTTCAACATATATGACTTATGTAGTGCATGATCGTTACGATTAGTAACACTGTCAGTTGGTGTGACATCTATACCCTTTAACGGTTGATTCGTCGAGTTGTTTGTCATTACACCGTGTAATTCGTTTATAATATCAGCAGTAGCTGTATTATTAAGATTTTGTAAAGGCGTAAACTGTGTATAATTTCGATGAAACCACCATTGCGGTAGAATTCTTTTCGACCAACCTAAACTTGATAAATACCATGATAAACCAGCTAAATGTTGTTTCTGTTCATCCTTTAAATCACTAGACAATAATCGTTTATTGTTCTCCTTATAAAATTCACTATTTATTATAGCTAAACGTTCAATAGAATCATACAGATTTGTTTGATTTTTAAATTTTCTGCCAAAATTTGTTTGTTCAAACTGATGAATTATATTTACATGATTAATTAATGTATCCAATAATTCCAGCTGTGTATTTCTCCATTCAAGCATCATTTCTTCAACTATTTTTTTACGAGTTTCAAACATTTTCATTTTAACTTGTGATTCATGATCACGTTCAACAGCATAGAACATTGAACCACCAATGACTGTATATACGACAACTAGAACAGCTAATCCAACATGTGATAATAAAAAGGTGAAAAGACGTTTTAGGCATAAAACTGTTTCTTGTTTTTTAGAATCATTCTCAACACTATCATCATTATCCTTGTTATTCGTACTAACTTTAATATTATCCCTCACTGCTGTAGTACTATCGTTCATTGCAGTGCTGATAGGTGCATTATTGAACATACTTATACTTTTACTTGTTATTACAGGCGGTAGATTTGACTTGAAAACCTGTTGACTGAAATGATTATGTTGATGAGAAGGCAATACAATAGAATTCACATATGACATGTCTTCTGGTAATTCTAATTTAGTGTTTTGATAATTATACGGATTTTTCACAGTGGAATAGGTTCGATAGTTGGGCGTTTTAACTATCTGATTTGAAGTTACTTGGCTAGTTAATGAATTTGAATGATAATGTTGAAAATCTGTATTCAAATGGCGTCTGTTGTACATGTATTTGGACTGTATGGATGTTTTAGCGGTCATTAATTAAAAAACAAACATGTGGAAGTATCATACAAGTCCCCAGGTAAATGAGCTGTGTATTAGAATTGCTACTACTACTACTACTATTATTATTATTTCTTAAACGCCATCTATTATTTAACCAACAAATAATGACAAATAATATCTTATTCATAGGAAAATAATACCTTATGCAACCAGCCAATTAAATGACAGTATAAAAAACTTTCCCATCCAATCAGATTATGATTAGAGGCAACATTTTGATGCGTTTATTGTGATACACAGGGAAATTAGGATGGTGGATTACTGCAGGTTGTCAGTCGCTTGATAAGTGTAAACTATTATTATTATTCAGGTTCACGTTTACAAATCAAATTATATTTACATACATATAGGCAAAAAAAGAGGACTAATCAGAATAGCTGGGACTTCGGGCATTCTCCTTTGCTTATTAACAAGATCTCGCCTCCGCTTACATAAGTGAATATTACGATAAATAAGGAAAGATAAACTGCACCTGGCTTCTGTTTGTCATTTCGGATAAGATATCGTAAGCGATGGCCACTTTTTTAAGCAATATTAGAACTATTACTACTTTTTTAAAGCCTTACTATCTTTGGGTTTTAAAATGAATCAGAAGTTACCTTAGAGTAACCGTTTTAATTAATGACTAGTAAACATTTAAAAAAACTAATTTTAGCATGGTTGAATGAATCATAAACGATCTGTTGAATAGGCATAAAAAGATCTTACCGTGAACCAATAAAAGTTTGAATAAATTGAAAAGAAATACTAATTACTAATCTTTGATTTCTGCTTCTTTTTCTGCTCTAATTCATACACCACGTGCTCCAGAATACTTGAAAAAGGATTAAACTTCGGTGTAGGTGTTAGTAGATTAAAACCCAAGGACGTCATTCCTAGCGTAGAAGTGGCATTAAATGAAATGATGTCAGCTCATGATGAAATCCTCGAACCAATCAAACCAGCAAAATCTCTACAAAACTAATACTTGAAAATTGACCTGATGCTCACTAGTGACTGGTCTTTTCCAGGTAGTTAACCAGGGGTTCTAGTGGGAAGCCATGGCCAGTAGAGTACAGGGGATTGAAAAAGAGGACAGTTACTCATCGAAGAAGACATTGCGAAGTGGCCGAGCTATGTCATGAAGTGGCAGAAGGTAGAATTCATGGGCTGAACATCGGATCAGGCCCCAGTGGCTTAATGGTCTACGAGATCGCTAGCCTTGTGTCCAGAAGGTGCTGGGTTCAAGCTCCCGTGGGTGCGTACTGCTAAAGAGTCCCAAACTAGGGGGAAACAGTTGTCCACTATTCCCAGATTTTCCAACGGTTCCCTAACTGATGTCTGCTCATGATGAAATCCTCCAATCAATAGAAACAAAATCCTTACAAAACTAATACTTGAAAATTAAATGAAATAGACAGTACTGCTGCTGAACAAGTCAGAGCACAATGTGTATTGATGCAAAAACACCGGGCGAAAAGGAGAAATAGCTTATCACAAAAAGAGATAGCAGCTCCAAAATGCTTGAAGAATGACAAAAACATGGTAATTATGAAATCGGACAACGGTAATACAACAGTAGTTATGGACACATCAGGTTCAATTATGATTTAGAAAACGAACAGGGTGAGTTGGCCATACTAAACTGTAAAGTAAAATGGAAACAAGATGGTGGGTTTGATACTGACACTAATGAATACTTTGACTTTAGTTCGTCCCATCCAGGATCAGTAAAGGCTGAATTTAATTAAATGTTTATATAATCGACACAGGCGCCTAAATAGTGAGTCAGAAAATTTAAATAATGAAATCATACAAATAAAGAAAATATTACTAGTGAATAACTAACCAATAGAATTTATTCAGAAATGTATGAAAACCCATAGAAAAAACTAGATTAGCAATGAAAACGATGGAAATGACGTAAATAGTACAGAATTCAAAGCCTCCATATTACTGCCATATAAAGAAGGAACATCTGAGGCTTTATGTAGGATTTATAATGAGGTTGGAATTAGGGCGGTATTTAAACAAACCGACACTTGCAGACATAAACTTTGTCGGCTAAAGGCCCTAATAGATCTAATTAAGAAAAATAATGTGATGCTCGTTAGTGACTGGCTAAAGAACGGCGTTTCTTGGATTTCTAATCAGAAGTTGTGAATGGTGGGGTCTATCCTGTTGGGAGTGAGGACAAATGGTCACCGATGACACCGGCTAGTGGTCGCTCTAAAATCACGAACTGGTGGAAGTTAGAAATGATGGACCGCGAATCGAGGCCTAGTGGTTGAATGCTCTACGAGCTTGCCTTGTAACCGGAAGGCCCTAGGTTCAACCGCTGGTGGTGGGTGCTTACTGTTCAAGAGTCCAAAACTGATCTGACGAAACAGCTGTCCAGTACTTCCAAGTTTTCCAGTGGTTCTCTAATCGATGTCAGCTCATGATGAAATCCAGTAATTACTGTGAGGTCAATTGCATAGGTCAAACTAGTAGATCAGTGTCAATTAGATAATCCAGGCAAAAGCTCAGCCATTACATTCACTTGCATGTAATTACAAAATAAGGTGGGACAGGGTGGTAGTATTAAAAAGCAATATAGTTAGGTGGAGAGAGGTTAATCACTGAAGCTTCGTTTATCAATCCAACAGCGCACACGTGCAATCGGAATGATGCAACGCCTATACCAGAGATTTGAAAAGTGACAATAAACAACAAGGAGAAGAAGCAGGGAGAGAATGATATATATATTTATACATATATAACAAATTACGAAGCCGTGTGACTAAACTCATATGATTAGGAGCAATAACGTATGCTCGAAACGTCATCCAGTTAACAGTACTGCATCAATGTGAGATATTTGAAATAAACTTATGTAATAAGTAGTCACGGCGTGCTCTGGTTCAAAATCTTTGGATATAATTTGGATATATATATATATACCATGGAAATAACTTAGTAATAAAGAGGGTTATTCATAGGTAGAATAACTTGCTGATAGTGTTTTTGATATCACCCTTGTATTATGCATGTAGGGAGAGACTTGTCAGTCGAATTATTTTCTTTCGTATATTTTGAACTCGCATCGTTCCTTGCAAGAAACTTAATCCTAATTTCGTCATATCAGGGTTTAAATCAGTGCAAGACAGAATCTTATGAATAAAATGTTTGTGGAATAGTTATCAATAAATTACATCTACAGGTTGTCATTTGACTGATAAACTGAAGAAAAAAAGTAACAGTTAGTTGATGGTCAAAAATAGTGATAAATTTGGACATTTGTTACCAAGACTTAAATCTTAATTATGAAAGTGAACCAGAAATCAACTTAAAGTACACTGCCTTGACAACACCGTTAACTTTGACAGATAGAATTCAGCCAGCGCAAATACCGGCGACTGTATACATGGCATTTGTTAATTCCCTAGTGACCAATCAAAGTATTCATTGAAGTTGTAAAGAAGGTCATTTCTGAGATAGAATAGCTCAATAGCATTGTCTCTGACTGAACTATTGGGTGACATCATTTCGAGTTTCCAATATGTGCATCAGTTCCCTTGGAGCTGCGGGTATGTCAGCAAGCATAAACAGCTATGTCTACGACTTCTTATTGCTCGTCTAACATGAAATACAACCTCCGTACATCAACGGAACCGCTCCTTGAGTTCAATTTTACCCTGATGGATAATAACATCAAAACATTCTCACAACTTTCATGATCCCAGTGATGACTGTAACGATCCTCCTTGAGATCGCCAGATATTTACTACATTTTCAACTGTAAAATCATTAGACGGTGTAGTTATGGCATAATGCAGCGATAGTGCTCACTAGAACAAGAAACTAGTGTTAATTCGATTAATGGCAGTCAACAATGAATGCTGTTTCCAAAGTGTCGTGCATTCATACATGGGGAAATTTAATATGCAGGTTAAAAGGAAACAACTGACTAACAGCAAGCAATAGGAGTTGTAGATAAGTGAATAATGTACAGACTGAATTTCGGCCAATATCAGAGCTTCTGTTAAAAATCCAAGATGACTACAACGTTCGGTTATCTCATTCTGGTCAAATCGACACGAAGTTGTATGAATAAACAAGCTGACCGAATTTAGTTCAATTTAACCTCCTAGGAGATTGTGTAGAAGTAGTTGGTACGAAAAGCAAAGTCTCTTTATTTCATTCTACGCAAAAATTGATTCCCTTGCAGAAAGAATATTAAACAGATAACTGAGAAATTAAATCTCTCAAAACTAGAGGTGAGGATTACAGCTGAGTTTCTGGGGTTTTGGCCTACTTATTACCTAGGAAGAAAGTTCTATGCAGTGATTATTCCTCATTTTTGTAATTTCTTGCCTCCAGTTATACGAAGATGACTTTGGAACTTTTAAAACATAGTCGTGATAGTTCGAGACAGTACTATTCTCTGATGATTGTAATGAAAATCAACCATTTTCGAAGCTGTTATTAGACAAGAACCAATTTTGTCAGGCGCATTTGTGCAGGTGAACATCCCAGATAGTATCACTTTGGCCTGTTGATCTTTATATAGTTGCTGTCTGAATAGATAAATGGGTTTTAACGTGAAGTTCAGGTTAACTCTGAACAGTGAGCAATTACTAGTGGAATAATAAATTTTCAAAATATAGGTCAAGTCACCACTATGCATTTAGCATAGACAGGATTTGATATAGTGGAAGAATTTAAAACTATCTGATGTGGAAAACAACCATGTTAAAAAGTGAAGCTTTTTTCTTAAAAAGCAGTTAAACTCCTGCTGTACAAATTACTTGCTTTACCTTCTTTGTGTTCAGGCAATTTCAGTGATCTTTGGAGGCAATATGAGTAAAGTAAAATAGTCTTGTTGGAGTATACACGTCTCATAAACTTAATGGAATGAAATATATTTACTGATACTCAAGGTTTATCTAACCAATTTCGAGTATTTTTAACAAACATATTATTTAAAGTCGTTTAACTTCATAAGAACCTAACAGCTGAAGATAAATTAAGTTTTAGCATCAGGGAAGAAAGAGGATTTTTTAAAGT